ACTGCATCCTCCTTTCCTTGGAGGTGTTTCTTTCCCATCTACTCCACCTAAGGAGCGGGTCCTTAGTGATAACCAACCAGACTGCAGTGATACAGAGTCACAGAGATCAGCTCCCAAAACATCATCTTCAGGGCACAGGGAAAGCATGGACTCCAATTCTCTTTCGTCACGAGAAGGTTGGCATGGAAAGTTCTACAAAGGTAATGGAGAACCACTTAGGAGCTTGCGTTTGACTGCTAAGCTTCGGGACTTCAATAAGTCTGCCAAGGTTAGTTATACTTGTCAAGTAATTTTATAAGACATGATTTCGAAAGGAAAATGGATATATTAACAACTTGAGGAGGCTATTGAAAAGTTTTTTTCCCATTGAAGTCTCATTTTGAAATGAGTAAGTACATGGGTTGAGTCTTGAATACCAACCACTCTTGTAGAGAAATATGGAACGGATAGAACATCTCCGATTCCTGTTACCAACACTGCTTTGACAGGCTTAATGCTGACTCTCAGTGACTATGCATTTAGTATGATATCCTGCAAGGAGTAAATTATTTTGAAGAGTTTAGATAGCGGGTATACCTTTTTGTGGCTCACTGTTTGGAAGTTTCCACTCCAGGACAGTGTCATGTGAAATGTATAAACTTTTGTTCTGTAATGCTTCATCCTGAAATACCATTTTGCATTTAGGTTGATACTGAATCAAGCAAAGATTTGGAGCAATGGAATGAAATGCTTAAAAACGATGCTGTCAAACTCTGCCAAGAGAACAATTTCAATACGGGATTCTTTGAGGGTAGTGATAATAACAGTGTTGTCGATGCTTATGAATTGAAGGTAATACCTTCATTCAACTTCTTGGCCTTCTTTCTGTGCAGTTAATAGAAATCATTACTTCAGTGTTTGTGGTGGCATCTGCAGATGCTAATTTTCTCTTTTTGGCTATTATAACATACAGGTTAGGCTTGAGCATATTCTTGAGAGGATAACACTGATATCTGAGGCTGCTAATACGGAGAAGCCATCTTTAATTACTAGTAGCTTGTTCATTGGTGGGGCACTGGCAGCAAGATCTGCTTATACACTGCAGCATTTTGGAATTACTCATGTATTGTGTTTGTGCTCCAATGAAATTGGACAAGCAGATTCCCAATACCATGACCTATTCGAGTACAAAAACTTTTCTGTAAGTACCTTTATTTCCTTCTATATTTTTGTCAGTTTGTTTCTAAATGAAGAAAGTCGGTGTCTCAGTTATCTGCTACCTGCATGGAACTTCTTTCATAACATATGCGATGTGCCTGATTGAAACAGATATACGACAATGAAGATTCAAACATCAGCAGTATCTTTGAAGAAGTTTGTGATTTTATTGATCATGTCGAACAAATAGGTGGAAGAGTCTTAGTTCATTGCTTTGAAGGGAAAAGTAGGAGTGCCACGGTAGTGATTGCATACCTGATGCTTCGGAAGTAAGTAATACATTCCATGCTTTATACTAGACAGAACTTATACAGGATAGAAAGCTATCTTCCTGCTAAAGAACCTCCAGTGTTGGCAATCCTTAGTAATATTATTGCTATGTGGGCAGGAACTTAACTTTATTAGAAGCATGGAATTCCCTGAAGCGAGCTCACCGTCGAGCCCAACCAAATGATGGTTTTGCAAGGATACTACTGGATCTTGATAGGAAACTGCATGGAAAGGTTTCAATGGAGTGGCATCAACGAAAACCAATGATGAAAGTTTGTCCAATTTGCGGGAAGAACGCTGGTTTGAGCAGCAGCTCACTCAAGCTTCATTTGCACAAAGCACACAAGAAGCTATCTTCAGGGAGTGTGGACAGTGCAATGACCATGGAGATACAAAAAGCTTTAGATGCACTCAGAATAAACCGCGGAGGGAGTGTAAGCCCCACACAAAGACAATCTCATTCCGTTATGGACGAGTAATGGCCGAGCCATCTTTTCCATGCAATGAAAATCATGACTATAGTTTATCTACTCATGAGTTTCTTTCTCGATCTATATCTGGTCATGTTACTTGGACCCAAATCTCAGTTATCAGCAGCAGGCATCGAGAGACGGCTTAGTGGTTACCGTGCTTTGTAAGATCAGCATGTCAAATGGTGAATTTTTACAGTGCATTTCTGTATCATTGGGCATCTTCTTTCAACATAAGCTAATAAAACGCCAATTTTCAGTAAACTGTAAACTTTATATATATATATTGTATGTGTAAACGATGTAGCTGACGCATGAACAAAATCTGGGGCCGCAACAATCAGACTTTTTTCGCAAGATAAAAAGCCAAAGAGAAGTAAGGATAATAACTGAGTTTCCTAGAACTGACTCCGTAGGTACAGAAGAAGATGAAATGGAAACAGCACATGTTCGAACACTGAACAGGACTCAACGAAATACGGTCTTTTTATTTAGGGTAAATTACGTTTTAGTAGCTAAACTGTTAGTTTTAATCTGTTTTAGTACCTAAATTTTTAAATTTTTCAAAATCATATCTAACATTTAGTTTTTGTTTCGTTTTAGTATCTCGCCGTTAAAAAATTGATTTGCACGTGTTATCTTTTTATGGGTAAATTGCATCATTCATCACTCAACTATCTTCTCACTCCTATTTTGGTCACTAAAGTTCAATTTTTTAATTTGATTAATTAACTTTCAAATTACTCCTAATTTAATGACTATAACTTTCAAATTTATTTTTTATTTTTAATTATATATTAATAAAATAATAATAAATGCAGTGTCACAAAAATTATTAATAAAATAAACTAGAGTGATTAAAATATGAGCAATTTGAAAGTTGAGAAGTTAAATTGATTTTTTTAAATTTTAGTATCAAAACAGGAGTGAAAAGATAGTTGAGTGATGAATGATGTAATTTACTCATAAATATGCAATTGCGTTAAGTTTTTAACGATGAGATACTAAAATGAAACAAAAACTAAACGTTAGGCATGACTTTAAAAAAATTGAAAGTTTAGGTATTGGACTAAAACTGATAGTTTAGGTACTAAACATATAATTTACCCTTTTATTTATTTCATTCTTCTCTAAATTACCATATAAATAATATACCGTGATATATTATTTATTTATATGTTTGTTTTATTATTCATGTTTAAAATTCATAAAATAATACTTGAACATGTAAATATTTTTATATTTTATATATCCATTTTATGATTCATGTTCTAAGTTTATAATAATAAAATCTAACATGATGAGATAATGATAAAAAAATGATAATAAATGTTATGACTCGAGCGAAGAAATTAATTTTTTTTATCATGAGTAAAAATAAACATAAAATTATATTAAAATAAAATTATTAAAAATACTAAATAAGTCTTTAATTACAGAATATTAAAATAATCTAAAAATAATTTTAATTTGAAATTATAAACATATTTAAAATATTAAGTTATTGAAATATTAAATTAAACTGAGTTCAATTTAGTAATTTTAAATAAAACTTAGGGTTAATGCACAATTCGACCATTAAATAAACACATTTTTTCACTTTACATATTAATTTCCATATTAATTTACCCTAAAATAAAAACACGTGGCATGTTATTATTGGAGCGATGATTTCTGGACTAAAATGAGGAAAAATATGAAAAACGTTTGGGGAGCAAACTAAAAAATTAGTATACTTGAGGGGCCAGATTGTGAATTAAGCCTAAAATTTATATGAAAATAAATATCATCAAGATATAGTTTAAATCCATCAGGGTAACTAAACCTATGATCTCTTGATTACGGGAATTTTATTTGATCATCGATATTTTAATTTTATTATTTACATCATTTAATTATTTAAATAATATTAATCAAGTTATTAGTCGTTAATATTTAATGGATAATGTGACATGTCATCCTCTTATTGAAAGAAAATAGATCTATTGAATTAAAAAAATTAATCCTTCAATACGTGTCACGACACATGTGACTAATGGCATGTGATATCATCTGATTAGAAGGTAAATTTATTTTAATTTATTAATATTAGAATTAAATTAATATAATATATAAATAATAAATATCAAATATGAAATTATATTAATTTTTTAACTAACATATCTCATGTTCGTTAAATGTTAAGAGTTTATAGCTTGATTAGGGCTATAAATGAGACGAGTCAGATCGTGAGCTATTTAAGATCGACTCGATTAAAGCTCGATAAATACTCGACTTAAATTCGAGCTCGACTCGAGTTCTTAACGAGCTGAAATGAGATATTTCATACTCGACTCGAAAAGCTCGCGAGCTACTAGAAAAAGTTAATATATTAAAATTTTATTTTAAAAAAATTAAATTATTAATAATATTAACATTTATGTGTTGATTTTTTTAAAATACAATATAAATGTACTTAAGATTTAGGTTTGAGTTCGAGATTTAACAGAGTTAAGTTTAAGATTTTTTTTATTTTGAGTTTTTATTCATAGTTTTGGGTTACTGTCGAGCTTAAACTTTTAGGCTCATTAGTTTTCAAGTCGAGTCGAGCTTCATTTCAGATTTTTCGAGTCAAGTCCAACAATATCAAGCTTGTCTTGGCTTGTTTACAACCCTAAGTTTGATTAATATATGTAGTTAATTGATTTGATTAATAAAATTGAACTATCAGTGATCAGAATAGAATCCTCATAGTTAAGTGGGCATGGAGTGTAGTTTACCCTATATATTATTATCAAGCCCAACACCGTAGGCCCCAAACCACACTGTCTGTGCTCCATGGGCCACTTTCTCACTTGCTATCGTTTTCCCTTCCTGGTTCGTACACCAAATGCCAGCAAGAAGCAAAAGGAAACCTCAAGTGTTTTTTCAGAAATCAGCAGGTCTATAATTTAATTTTAATCGAATTTACTTTCTTTTCCTTGTTTCTATTCGTGTTTAGTTTCTGAGCATCTATTTTTTTTTGGTATTTTTTCCCCTTTTCCTCCTTGTTATGGATTACCATGGTGGGTTTTTTTTTGTTGGAGCTTATTCAGGTTCTGAATATTAGGATTGGTTGACTCTCACGCATTATAATCTTATCTTTTTTTCGTGTGATCTTATTGAGTGGAGTATAGATTCCCCTAGAAACGCGGGTAAACTTGGTATGTAGAACCGAAAATAATGCTTGATTCTGCCTCGGTCGCAATTTGCAGATACTTTAGGGGAAATGAAGAGTCCATTTTCCTTAATTTATGCGCATGATTGCTCTTGTTTATTCAGTGTTTTTATTATGATTGAGATAAACTGCATGGAACTAAATGCTTCAATGTTCAATCTTGACAGGTCTGTTCCTTTGCTAGATTGCCAATAAAATGGCATTAAAGAGCCAAGCATCTCATGCTATTGTTCCTGCACAAGGTCGTGCCACTTGTTACAATGATATCATAATCAAGGCAAAACAAATCGATGAGAATGATCGAGAGGATCTTTCGGGCTTTATATTTATGTGCAATGGAAGAACAAAACCACTGTGCTACATGTACCGTGTTTTTGGTCTACCTGCTGTAAAATTGGATGTTCTTGAGAAAATTAAACCAGGCATGAAGCTTTTTCTGTTTGATTTCGAATTGAAACTTCTTTATGGTATATACGAAGCAACCTCTGTTGGAACATTGCACCTGGAACGAAATGCGTTCAATGGTCGGTTTCCTGCCCAGGCAAGTAATATTCCTCATTTAACTTAAAAGTTTTAGACGTTTATGAACTAAGCCTAAGAGACACAAGTGTTGACCACCTTCATATTTGATATATGAAATCGATGCTTAGATACGTTTTTGGAAGGCTTTTTGGTTCCTGTCACATAACTTGGCTGGTTCTTCCGTAGATAAAGGGATGCGATGGCTGTCAGCTTGTATTTGGATATATATACCATTGAATTACCAGCCTAACTTTCTTTCTAGTTTCTGCTTCTGTTAGACTTAATAGACATCTAGAAGAACTACGCTAAAACATGCTCACATTGCCTCTAAAATTTGATCAGATTTTTATTTTACTACAACCTTATTCCCAATTCTTGACATGCAACACTTTTGAGAAATCAAGATAAAACAAATTGATATTTTGGCTGCATGGACATTTGTAGTCGAAATGGTTGCCAGTCTTTAACATTCTCAAACAAACTTTAGAACTAAGGCCGTATAGCATAACACCCATGGCTCATGAGAAATAGGCTTTTAGGACTCAGTTCAATGACTTAAAGGTATACAATATGGTGATGACTGATGAGCCATTGTTTGGTATTAGCATTGACATTGCAAAGTATGGCGTTACACCCATGGCTCATCGGAAATATGCTTGTAGGCAATGAGCCATTGATGGATTAACATTGACCTTGCAAAATATGGCACAATGATTCCTCAGGAATAGGCTTGTAGGACTTAGTTCAATGACTTACAGGAATACAAATTTCTCAATGAGCCAAGTTCAATTACTTTCAGGAATATATTCTGGCAACAAGCCATTGATAGGTAATAGCATTGACCTTGGTCAAGTTGTTCTTCCATTTTTTTCTAATTGTAGTGTTCATAGCCTGCTCTTCTTTTGTTGATGGTTTTCACATTTATGTCATTAGAAATCTCGATATGAATTTGACACTTTTTGTAGTCCCTTTTGCCTTTATGAAATGGTCTTCAAGGTTTCTCTAGTTCTATCTTGGAGACCATATAAGCAAAAATGAAATCCATCTTACTGATGCTTACATCTCTCTCGTTGACTGTAAGTGCAAGGCCCTAATCCATTCTATTTAGACAATTTTCCAGTTCTTTATTCCGTTTCTCATGCACGAAATTGTGGTTTCAGGTGAAGTTCAAGATCTCTATGGACTGTTTACCATTGCATGAAAGTTCCTTTAGACATGCCATTGAATATAACTACCAGAAGGGTTCTAAGTTCAAGCAAGAACTCAACAAGCAGCAGGTGAGACAGACTCGTTCATCGTATTCCTTTACTTGTAATTGTTGTCTCATTGCTCCTTTTTGACCAAGTATCATTATACTATGCTGCAGGTGAGATGTCTATTGTCATTGTTTCAACCTTTGACAGTGTCTGCACCTAGTTCTATGCAGCCAATGAGACTTCAAACCGTGGACAATCAATTGAGGCTACCTTTTCCCAAGGATTCATTTTCTCATATCTTAGAATCTCAAAAGGTTCAACATAGCTGGCTTCAGCAAGGCATAGGCCATCCAGTGCATCCAAATGTAACTCACTTGCCACTCGGTTATCTGCAACCAAATTCAGAACCTTCAAATATTCAACATAGTGTCCCTTTTTCACAGAAGCATTATTTTGGATCCACTATAAACATGGGCCATTTGCATCCAACAACTATGGTAACACAAGTTTCCCTCACAAATAATTATGAACAGTATATGGCAGACATTCAGCAGCCATATGCAGCCGGAAATGCTACCCAGACCATGCCAGATCAGTATAACAGGTGCCTTTTCTTTGTCATGGATGAGTTGGGATTTGGGAATTGAATCTTTAGACTTGAAGAATATTGTTTTTGGTTGGTTACTGTTAATGCGAAACCGTTGACTACTTAAATCAATTTCCTCTAATCTGGAAGAATTTTGCTTTCTGCGAAAACCCTTATAGTTATACGAAATGCTTTTGCCAAGAATGTTGCACTTCTTAATCTAATGCTCCTTATTTCGCTGCAAATGTAGATATGAGACAATGGGAATTAGTGAACAACTCAGCAAGAGGAATATGTATCTGTTACCATCACAGAGAGGGGGGGAAATTGTTCAGCAGCCGGATAGTGTTATTCAGTACTATAATTCCCACCCGTCACATGCAGCCCTTCATGCAACTACGTCGGTATTGTCATGTCCACCAACAACGGGAGTACCCAAAGCTGCAAACCAGACTCTTCCCCTTGCTTACTTACATCCCTTTTCATCATCTCATCATTGACTTGGAAAGTGAGATGATTTCACCTCGAATCTGCATAATGCAGCATATGAAAATTTTAGTGACCATGAAAGGTATATTTTTGTTTGTCATGTCTTTAATTGTTCTACAATGTGTGAATTAGCCTTAAGGAGTGTTGATTTTGTCACTTTATTATGTAGTAAATAACATAGAATCCAACCAATTCCAAGGCGAAGGAGAAGTTTTGAGCTAAAACTTGAAGCCCAGTTTGTTTGATTAGTTATGTACTAGACATGGGTATGAGAATATGACTCTTTAAAACCTTAAACAAAATGGAATATGTTCCTGTTGGACTTTGACACTGGAGTCCCAGGCATATCATAAGAGTCAAGTTGGACCACCTTGTTCAAGTCGATGTCTCTTAGAAGACATTTGGTTTATGGAATGTAAGATTAACTTTGGGAATAGGATTCTCCGAATGTTCCACTTCTCTTGGCTTGACTTGCTCAACCACTCTTGGATGCCATTGTTGTGCACCGTGAAAACCCCATGATGGGTTTCGTTAATATGCCACTAGTTGCCTTCTCTTTCGCAATATCCAAGGCCTCTTTGCATCTAATAGGCTGAGACATGGTCTCATCCCACCATTTTACTTAACATATATATATATATATAGGATATCGTTTTGTTGAGTCCTTCGACTATTAAAAGTAACAAAATTGTCACTTGACTATTTAGTATGTTCCTAATTCGTCATTTTTCGTTAAAAAATTGATAACAGACCGAGTTTGATGTTAACATGTTGACTAAAATATGATTTTTTTTTAATTCTGAGATTAAATTTTATCATATCTCAGTTATCAAGTTAATATTCAACTCAGATTGTTTTCAATTTTTTGATGAAAAATGACGAGTTTAGAACATACTGAATAGCCATGTGATTATAATGTAACTTTTATTAGTCGGGAACTCAACAAAGACGCACCCTATGATTGAAGGACCATATTATAATTTTTAATAGTCGAAAGATTAAACAAGATATCACCCTATAATCGGGGATCATTTTTATACTTTACCCTATACATTAAAACAAAATTCTCCGTTAATGATTTTTTATTTTCTTGAAATATTTAAATCTAACATGTGCCCGGACATAAGCCTGCATTAGATAATATATTTAATAGGTCAGTGGTCAGTTTTTATAATTAAGTTTTATTAATTTTAAACAAATATTATAATTTTTTTATATATTTTAAAAGATGAGAGAGTATAACTCTAAAATATGAGTGAAGTTTCCATCCATTATTTTACGACTCATTAATTTGAGAGAAGATTTTGTATGTCCTCAAACTAACAAAAATCATTAAGGGTAAACTCTAGATTTAGTTACTTTTGTGTAAATTTTCTAAACTTATGGTCACTAGATTAAAAAAAATATAAGTTTTAGTCACTTACGTTATCGTTTTATTAAGATTTGATCACTAGACTTTAGCTATTGTTAGTTTGATGATGTGACACGTTAGTAAAAATGTTTAATTATTATTTTAACCCTTAAACTTTAGATAAATTACTAATCATGAGTCTTTTTGTAAACCCAAAATAATTTTGGGATAAAATATCATTTTACCCCTTTTCCCCATATGTTTTCTTCCCCAAGCCTATCTTCACCTTCGTTGCTATTAATCTTCTCCGTCGCCGGTGACCGACCCTTCTTTTTGGCTCATGACGGTACAACTTCTTTGTTTATGCATAACACCAATGGCAACAAAGAAAAACATAACACCAATGGCAACAAAGAAAAGCATTACACAAATGAGAAGTACCACAGTCCACAGACCTCCTGAAACAGGTAACCAGCTTGAAGCTTGGCAATGTTCGCATTGCGAAAAACCTTTGTTTTATAAGCTTCAAAACAAACAGCAACAGACATAGCTCCATTTAATCATAAGTATGAATATCAGTAAGTAGTTTCTGCTACTAATGACCTGTTCTTAGCAACATTACCCAACTCAACTACTCAACACCAGCTTCAAAACAAAAAAATTCAAGCTTCCATATGCCAAAGAAATATTGTAATAATAATGAAGAAGTGTAAGAAAATCACCTGTTTGTTGTTCTTGAGGAGTGGTAATACATTTAACAATATTGATGCTTTTCAGTGGAAAATCAGCACTCTGGATTCTGCTGCATTATCCAACAAAGAAAACCCCAATGAAACCTTGTTGAAATGATAAGATGAATGAGAAATGGTGTTCTTGTTTTCTAAACAACAATCAAAAGTCAAAAAATATAGTACCTTTAATCGAAAATGATTGGAGCCAAGAAATCAGAGGGAAGAAGAAGATTTCCCCCCTTTTCATCCAAAATTACTGCGAAAAGCTGCTTATTTTTTAGAGAAAATAACCTCAGTGACCGAAAATGCTTTATAATATACGATTTTAACCAACTTTTTTTTGGATTTGCCAAAATGACCAACAAATTCGCAACGCGAACTCCAATTTCGCAACCCAGTTTCCAATTTCACAAAGCGAATATGTAAATCGCATTGTGATTTTCCAAATTCGCAACGCGAATCTGTAAATCGAAACATAGAAGTCAAATTCGCAACGCGATAGTCAAATTCGCAACACAAAAGTCAAATTCGCAACGTGAATTTGTAAATCGTAACACAGAAGTTAAATTCGCAACGAGATAGCCAAATTCGCAACAAAAAAGTCAAATTCGCAACAGAAAAAGTCAAATTCGCAACGCGATAGTCAAATTCGCAATACGAAAGTCAATTTCGCAACGCGAAACACAATATTAATTTCGCAACACAAATGTAAACAGTATTATCGTAAATCATAACCTAAAACCCTAAACCACAACTTAGTCCCATCTCCATCTCTCACTCTCTACGGCGACATCCGTCCCCATCTCCGACGAAATCCATCCCCATCTCCGGTGAAATCCGTCAATCTCCATCTCTCAAAGCAACCCTCACAACCATTCACGATTAGAAATGGAAAATCAACCACCGAGGGTTAGTTTTTTAATCTCTTATTTTTATTTTGAAATTTTTGTATTATTATTAGATTTTTCTTATATTGATGATAAATTTACTGGTAATTTCAATATATATATAAAGATTAACCATTTCACTAAGATTGCTTAGTAAATTCATTCGGTTGCTGCCAATACTGCTAAACTGTTTATTCTTTAACCCTGTGAAGTTAGTATTTGTATTTGTTTTATCTTTTTGTTGAAGAAATGCAATTCATTCAAGTTTCAATTTGCATAAGAATAGTTTTTGAAACTTAAATTCACAACACCAAAATTGCAACACGAAAATGAAAATCGCAACGCGATTTTAGTTTCGCATTGCGATTTTCTCGTTGCGATTTTCATTTTCGCGTTGCGAATTTAAGTTTCAGAAACTACTCTTATTCTGCAAATTGAAACTTAAATGAATTGCATTACTTCAACAAAAAGACAAAACAAAGACAAATACTAACTTCACAGTGTTGCTAATTTAAGTTTCAAGAATAAACTACTACTCTTTATGTTGTCCTTGAACCTATACTAAACCTATATGTTTTCCTTTTAAATGTTTATATATGTTCTTACTTCTGGAATGTTATTTGATGCATTTTGTGAACTATGATGGAATAATGACAGCATGTGAATACCGTGCTAGTTTAAAATATATTTGGCTTTGTTTTCACTGTTTAATATCATGTCTGTTTATAGTGTATAATTTGTAGTTTTTGGTATATCTAACTTGGTATGTTTATTGTTTTTGTAGAAATTTTTTTCGGTTGTATTGACCTTAAGGAATAAATTAAACCTAGCCACTAAAATTGCGTCGACGCTTACATCTTTACAAAGAAAATTATTTGAGGTACTTGCTTCGGGCAATGGCTGAAAGTACAACATACGGGCGGAGATGCTATGTTGACACATTTGTTTCTTTAGACCATGACTAACGATCTACCCGAGAGGATACAACGTGGTGATGAAGAGATATGGTTTTATTTTCCTCCGGCACCGGCTTATACTTGTTTTGGGCGGGAGGAGTTTTGCTTAATCACTGGTCTACGCTTCGGACACGATGAAGTAACCCGGTACACTAGTAATATCTCCCGCCCATCATGGTTATCTCGGGTTTTTCCTGAGATGGTAAAGTCGAAGCCGAGTTTACACGTCGACGACTTGAAGAGATTATTTGTTAAAGATGGTTTTACTCGGATGGATGACCTTGATGTTGTCCGAGTATGCCATTTATTACTTTTGCATGCCGTCTTTTTAGGCAAAGATGGCAGACAACCTATCTCTGAGGACCTAAATGCTTGGAACCTATTTCCGTGGGGTTCATATCTATGGAAAGCTACCTAGAAGAAGTTGTCGTCTGCCTTTGAGGACCGAAAAAGTTTGCGGGGCGATTTCCAAAATTATAATTAATTATTTAACAATTATTAATGTTTTTGTATTATATTGTTTTGTAGATTTGGATATTTGAGGCTTTCCCCAGCATGCGGATATATACGATAAAAAGATCAAATGATATTCCTAGGGCTATTACCTGGAAGAGGATCCGCATGTTGGATTAGGAAGAGTTACTCCCATATACGACGATGAATGATGTAAGTTAACACATAAATAATACCATATATAAACAAGTTATTACTAGTACAAGTTTAACTTTGTTTGAGCTTTTATATTGTTAGGAGGCCAACTATCCATTACAGAGGTTGAGCTTGCCACTGATTGGTGGCAAGCTAGTAAGTGGTTTTTTGATGGGACGGATGATGAGCACCCCCCACTTCGAGAGCCATCACCTGATCGGGCCAATTCTACAGCTCGACACCCGGAGCCATCACCTAATTGAGCCTCTTCTCCACCTCCACCATCACCTATTCCATCACATCATCGAGCCTCTTCTCCACCATCAGCTCATGATAGACGACCGGCAAAGAGGCCACGACATTTATCTCCCTATTCTCCACCTCCACGGGATGAGTTAGGGGAGTTACGTGATGAGGTTGGTGCTTTGCGTCACGAGGTCGGTACTTTACGTGAAGATAATGGTGCATGGCGTGATGAGGTTCGATCTTTACGTGGTGAGGTGGATTTTTTACGCGATGACAATGGTGCGCTACGTGGTGAGGTATCTACTTTACGTGATGAGGTTACCGCTCTACGCGAGATTATTTCATCGTTGCAGAATGAGGTTCATACTCTACGCAATGAGGTAAATTTATTTAATATTATACTAAAAATGCAAATAACATTTTTTCGACATTATTTATTTATTTATTTACTGATTTATGTATTAATTTATTTTCAGCGGCCCGATAAGGTAGATGCTTTACGTTGGGTTTTTCTTGCACGACGGGGTTTACGTATCAGACGTTGTACACATGCCATTACGTCTTTGTTCACCCCACTAGTGCCAAGACTCCGTAAGAAGAAGCTCGATGCACCTATCATCATTCAAGAGGCGTCTCCTATTGTTCAAGAGGCCCCTCTCATCATCGAAGAAGCCCCTCCCACCGTTCAAGAGGCCCCTATCATCGTTCAAGAGGTCTCGCCCGCCGTTCAAGAGCCCGATTCATATGGCGTCATATGTCGACATATTGATAAACCCCCTCTCGTTCCTGATATGATAGATGCGAGTTGGCTTTCGTATGTGTTATCGGCCAGTACCATTCCTCAGCAGGAGAGGGAAACACTACAGGACACAATTACGGATAATACCCTTTGGGCTAAGACCGCAGTTGATTTTTATCTACATGAGCGGAGCAAGGGGTGTTATTCTGACCTATGCCAACTCGACGATGTTATTCATTTGTTTCTTGATCGGTCTTGGTGGGGTATTTTTAGGGTTGAAGATAATGGCTATCTCGAAGGGGTGGTAAGTCTTATATTCTTCTTATATTGCATTTTAATTAAATTTTTTTAAATTATTAATAAATTCACTAATATATGTATTTATTTTATAAAATAACATATTGATGCATGGGTGTCACGTCTTCTAATAATAAGGAAATTGAGGAAAATAAGAAATACTCGATGGACTATTATGCCGACGTCTTTTCACGTAGCTCACTTGAAGGATCCGAGAGATACTTCATATACGTTGGGTAATGGAAAAGCTAAACTTTATCTTGCGTGGTGGGAGGTCGATAAGGTTAGTATTTATTTTTTTTGAATATTTTAAAGGTTTTCATTAATTTTATTTGATGTGCGCAATTATTTATGATTGTAGGTGTTTATCCATGTTTTGGAACGTTGTCATTGGCTTCTCGTCGAGCTTCAGCTCCCATCCCTGAAGACAATGGTATATGACATCATGTTGAATTACATACCATTGTCTAATTTGAGAGATATTATTTGTAAGGGATGGAGTGCTCATTTGGCAAAATACTTGGACGCGATTGATTATTGGACTAATTCTGGAAACAAGAAGCCAAAAAAGTTCAAAGTTACAATGATCAGAGACGATACCACGCCACAACAAATGAAGGGAACCAGAGGGGATTATGGTCCTCTTGTATGCATGTGCTTGGAGCATTTGACGACAGGAAGTAAACAACTTCTACCTCCTACAGATAGAGATAGAGGTGCAGTAGGCTTATGGTTTCGACATTTTATGGCTCAAGTGATATATACGAGACGTTGCCTACCTGCATCCGCGTGCTGAAAGTTTGCATAAACAATTGGTAAGTTTGAGTAAGTGTTGTTAACATATATACTCTTTGTTGGTTTGAAAATGTTTGGTTAAGTACCTAGAATTCAATAATTTTCTGTTTGTTGGTTTTAGATGTGTAGAAAGTGTTGTTTAAGCAAATGTTTGGTTTCTGCAGGTTATTCTTGACGTGAGCTGCATGAAATTGATGTATTTGTGCATAAACAACAGTCTGGGTACACTTTTTTTGTTTGTTTAATTGAATTGTATTTGTGCATAAACAACAGTCTGGGTACTTTTTTTGTTTGTTTAATTGAATTTTACATTGAAGTTGATTTGTTTAATTGATGAAATAAGAATTATTTTTTGCTTGTTTTAATTGATTTGTAAAAGTTGATTTTTTAATTTGATGTGTAATAAGATTATTTTTTTTCTTGTTTAATTGAGTTGTAAAAGTTGATTTGTTGTTTTAAATTCAATCTTCATTATGTTGAAGGCAAAAAAGACCTGTTGAAGGTACAAATTCGCAACGCGAAAGTCAAATTCGCATTGCGATTTTCGGTTTGCGATTTCGCGTTGCGAATTTGACTTTCACGTTGATCGCAACATACAACATCAAGTTATATACAACATCAAACACATTCCAAGCTATAAATACAAGCTAAGGACACTTGAAG